AAACAAAATGATTATTTTGATTATTACCTCTATGATTTTTCATTATTGATGTTTAATCTAGGTATAATTCAGAAAAGAAAATTTTTTTTCTATCTTACTGGGTACAAACAGAGATAAATAGGTGCTTATTGAGTTTCTTTTTTCAATCTATATTTTCTTTTCAAAGGTTAAATGCAGACAGTTATAAAAACCTGTAATTCTAAACCTTTGTTTTGTTTGTGTTCTTTTCTGAACTAATTGTTTCATAAAATAATAAGCAAGGGAAAATTAGAAAGGAATCCAACTGGTAGCAGTTTTAGTATTTGCAAAAGAAAATAACTTTAAAGGTCAAGGATAATGCTTACCATCTGACTCTAGATGTTTTCTGGGTAGTGTAGCCCAAATAGTAAAAATTTCTCAATATATACAAATATATTTATTTGTATATGTTAAATCTACCAATGTGCTTTAATGTGGAATATACATGCATTTTATGGTAGATTCCGTTTTATTAAACAAAGCCAACAATGAATAAGTAATTTGAGGAGGAGTATTAATGTCGAAAATATGGAAAACAGCTGTTCCAGAAAAAACACCAGTGTTCTGTCTCCACGTGCTATTCTGAAGGATCACACCTGCAGATGGTGAGGAAGAATATTTGCATTGAAATCTGTCTGCTCTTTTATTTCTTCCTCATTATCTTTAAAATCAGGGACTATCTTTAAAATCTATTTGTGCTTTTTTTTTTCCCCAAGTGGTACATACAGGCGAGTGAAGATCCCAAAGCCACTTAAGAATCTAAACTATTAAAGTATGACATTCTTATGGAAGAGTGAGCAAATCTAAAGTGTACAGCTTGATACATTTTTGCAAAGTGAACACACTTTGAAGATCCAGGTGCCAGCTCAAGAAAGCACAGTATGAGTACCTCCAAAACTCCCCTTATGTCCTCTCCCAGTCACTCATACCAAACAGGAGTCCCCCTCCCCAGCGTTTTACATAAATGCTGTCCTGCAGTAGGTGTTTTTTTTTTTCTGATGATCTTTTACCCTAAACACTGTTTCTGATAGTTATTCATGCGGTTGATGTAACTGTGGTTGGTTCATTCTCATTAATGTATAGCATTTTATTGTTCGAGTAGATCTTAATTTGTTAGTCAGTTCTACTGTTAATGGTCTCTGAGCTGTTCCTAGTCTGTCTGTCCTTGCTGTGAAGAATGCTACTGTAAACATTCTTGTACATAATTTTGGCAACCATCGTATGCCTTTGAAGTAGTTATAAACAGAGAAATGGAATTTTTCCAGCCATACGTTACACGTGTCCATCTTTAGTAGATACTACCAAACTGTTTTCTAAAATTACACCAGTTTCCACCATCTTCCCCTCAAGCAGGATGTCACACCACCAATGCTCTGCATCTCTGCCAACTCTTGATAGTGTGTGTTCTTTTTATTTTAGCCACATTTGCCTGCATGTGGTGGTATCTCATTGTGACTTTAATTTGTATCTCCAAAGGACTAATAAAGTTGAGAAAATTTTAATATGTTCATTCACAGTTTGAATGCCTTTGTCTGTGAACATTTTATGTCTTTTGCCCATTTTTCTATGGAGTTGTATGTCTTGTTCTTATTGATTTATAGGATTTTATTTAAATATTCTGACTACCAGCTGTTATATGCATTGCAAATTTCTTCTTGTACTTTGTGGCTTTTCATTCTCAGCTTGGCATCTTTTGATGAACAGAAGTTCCTAATTTAAATGTGGTCAAACATATCATTTTTTTCTTTTGTGGTTACCATTTCTTCTGCTGTTTAAGAAAGCGCTGCTTACCCTAAGGGAAGAGATACTGCCTTTGAAAAGCTTGGTTGTTTGATCATTCACATACACAGCCCTCGCAAACCGGTTTTTGTATGGGTAGGAGCTAAGATTCATTTTCTTATCCCAAGTAGATCTATGATTCATTCAGTACCATGTAGTAGAGAGACTGCCTTTCTCCTCTGCTCTACATCCTCAACCTTGTCATAATTTACTTATGTAATGAGTTGTCACCATGGCCTTGGGTTTGTTTCTGAACTCTCTGTTTCATCCAAATACCCGCTGGTCTGTTTTTGTACCAATTACACACTCTGTTCATTACAAAATCTTTATAATAAATTTGGTATCTGGCAACTGAAGACCTCTAGCTTTGTTCCTTAGTATCACTTTGGCTAATCTTGGCCTTTGCATTTCTGTAGAAATGTTAGCTTGTTAACTTAAAATTAAAAAAGCAGCTATTGGGATTGTGATTACATTGAATACATGAATCAATTTGAGAAGAACAGTCATGTTTATAGTATCAAATCTTCCAATATGAGCAAGGTACACCTCTTTCTGTTTATTTGTCTGCTTTATTTTCTCTAAATAACGTTTTTTGTGTAGAGGTTAGGAACATCTTGTGTTAGATTTATTCTAGGGTATTTGAGACTTTTAAATTCAATTTTAAATGTATACTTTCTACTTTTTAGTTTGTTTGTTGTTTTATAGTAGTACAACTGATTTTTGTAATGACCCTAAATTCAGTAACCCTACTAAATTTACTTATAAAACTAATAGTTCTTCTTTATTATTTTAATTTTATTTAAATATTTAATTTAGAGAAAGAAGAAGGGAGAGGGAAGGGGAGAGAGAGAGAGAGGGAGAGAGAGAGAGAGAGAACGAGAGAGAGAGACTGATTTGTTGTTCTACCTATCCATGCATTCATTAGTTTCTTCTTGCGTGTGCCCAGACTGGAGATCGAACTTACAACCTTGGTGTATCAGGATGATGCTCTGACCAACTGAGCTATCCAGCCAGGGTTATTATTTCATTTTTAAATGTATTTCATTATTTATTCAAAGAAATGGATTTAAAATTATTGTCTTCCTTGGAATTTTTATTTTTAAATATTAACTGGCTAATAACATTAATTGATATTCATAATAAAAAGAAAAACTAGACTCTAGATGACAGTGTAGGACAGTATATCAGTATTTCAGTAGGTGCTGGAAAAATTAGAATTATTGACTGATCTCTGTTTTTACCTGCATAATACTCTTAAGTAAACGAGTCTATCCATCTGATCTTTAGTTTTCTCATCTGTAAAATAATGATCATGAATTCAATAAGCTTTAGTTCCTTTTTATCAGGGGTGGATGACTCAAACAACTGTTGGGTAAGTGGTTGTGCATTAGGATTTTCCCTCTTTTTTCTACTCTTCCCCTTATGGCACTGTGACTGGGGGGCACTGGGCCTTATGTGATCTCATTGGAGGGAGAGTGATAAGTGGGACCATGTCCACTCAGTACTTCCATACTTCCATGTCTTCTGCTCAGGCACTTGGGAATTCTTTCTCGCCCAGACACCACACCGTGGCTCTGGGGATAAGGGGGTTCTGCTTGGGTTCGTCTCTTTAGACACTTGGCTCTCTCCTCCTATGCCCCTAACTGCTCCTGTGTCACATTAAATATGGAATGCTAGTTCTCTCAGAGAATCTTGAGTTCTCATCAGTCTATGCCCTGAAAAGTAGCCTGCTCGTCTGAAAGCTCCCATCCATGTTTGTCTGGGGATTTAACTTAAGAAAAGGCAAATGAGGACTTGTGTTTGCCCTCCTCCTCCCCTGTCTGTCTTCTTATCCATGCAACTTTTCAGCCCACGGTGGTTTTCACATCTTTCCATCACACCCTGTGTCTTCTCCACACTTAGAACCTTGGCACTTTGTGACCTAGTTCGCTGGGTCTGACTTCTAATATGCTAGTGGAAACCAAGCTTGTGGTTTTAAAAACCCCTTTCTGCCCAAGGAAAGCCTAATATTTAAAACCATTGTTTTGCTGTGGATCCAGAATTCTGGCTGGATGTCAAACTCCAGACTGCTCCTTTCTGATTGTATTTATCTTGTAACAATCCTAATGCTCCTTGAGGCAGGTGCTACCTCCAGCAGAAAGGCAAGGTCAGACACAGAGAAATGCAAAACCTTTGCATGTGGATGTATTTCCAAATATCAGCATCATTATGTGATGGCCCGTACCTCTCCCACATTCTTTTGTTTGCTGCCTTTTTCCTATGTGACGTATTAGTTTGTTCAAATGTTCTTTAAGTTTTATGTGACAGTGAGGACTTGTTATGCAGTTTCTATCATAGGACATACGATATTTATGGCACATAAGATAGTTCTGCCTTCTCTTTGTTAATAGATATTTAATACATAGCAAGTGGATGCGTACTTATTAGGAACCTCCTTCCTATGTGCTAAACATTGAATTAAATACTGAGGGGTATAGGTAGTAGGCAAAAAATACAATAACTGTCCTTGAGGTACCTGAAATATAGCTGGGGGGACGTGACAGCATAAGGCTACCCAAGAAGGCATATAAATTATAGGCATTAACTGTAATTGCTACAGGAGGTCAGAGAACCATAAATCAACAGAGTCCACAGTACCTGGGGATCATTTTGTGGAGAAGTTGACATTAAAGCTTTGACAGGGTGGTAAATTTGGAAGGTGCTGAAAAGAACTGAACTGCAACCAGGAGGAACAGACAAGGAGAAAGGAACTGGGAGAGACGACACGGGAGCCATTAGCACCCTGCCTGACTCAGTAGGACAGATTACACGGAAGGACAATGTAAAATTCATGGAATGCTCAGGAAACATAAACAAAATATATATATCCAGCAGACATACTGTGTAATTTTCAGCTGCTTCTCCCATAGGTCTTGTACAGCTTAAATTATAAAAACTAATATCATAGGTTGGAAAATTGGAAAATTTTGACCCCTTAAGGGAATAGCTACCAGATATCAAAGTGATTTATGAAACAGATCACCTTGTAGAAATTCCCTCGTAGGAGCATGAGAACTTTTAGATAACTTTTACATTCATACTCCAACCGGGGTGGGATATTTGGAGAGTAAAGGCAGATTTGGGAGGTTGAACTAAAGGTTCTCCAGGAATATCCACAGGAGGTAAGTTGTGGGGTGTTTCCCTGTTTCCCTTCTCATTGCTAGAAAGAGGTTCTTCACCGAGACTGTGAGAGTGTAAAGTGAATCTCTTGAAGTTTTGGAGTGGCAGTCAAAACACGGATGAATCTGAAGACCAAGAGATGAGCTACTGAGCAGTTTATGGCCAAGCAAAGTAGGAATGCTGTGTTGGAATTCGCCTGTTTTCCCAGGGTTGTTAGAGTTCCTCGTGGAGCAGCTGTGAGCCACGCGTGTGAGAACACTCTCACAAGGCTGTCCAGGTCCTGTCCCTCTAGGCTGCTCAGGGACTGAAGTGGTCTCAGCAGACAGAAGTCAAGACTGCACTGGGGGCTGTGGCTGTAGTAAGTAACGACGTGAGACAGTAAGACTCATGTCAAGTCTCCAGTGACTGGAGGGAGTGGAGTCAACACTGGCTAATAATTTGCTTTAATACATACCAGTTCCCTTAGCTCAGTGACCAGAAGTAACTTGCCTTCTCCACATACCTCTTCTTTTCCTGCCTTCCCTCTTTCATGCCATGTTCCAGAGGCATTGGCACCAAGGGTAACTGGGTGGAGAAGAGAGACCTCGGGAAAAAATACGGGACGCTCGTCATTGGCTGTTGGTTTCCACTTGCAGCAGGTCCCAGCTACGGAGGGAGACAATTTAAACTTTAAATCAGTTTTTTTTTTTTTTTTTTAAACATAGCTGGGTATTCTAAGGTCTAAATTGAGAATGTGTTTGGTGACTTCATGTAACTAGAAGATGCTTTTTAAGCTCCAGTTGATCAGGGTATTTTGATAAGCGCTTCGTTCTTGTTGGCTCAAAAGACATTGCATTAATTTTCTGGAGCTGCCATTACAAATTATTATAAACTGGGTGGTTTAGAACAAGAGGTGTTTATTTTCTCACAGTTCTGGAGGCTACACGTTTAAAATAAAGATGTCAGCAGGGCCCTGTTCTCTTCAAAAGCTCCGGCAGACGATCTGTTCCATTCTCTTCCCTTGGCTTCTGGTGGTGTCGTGGTCCTCGGCCGTCCTTGGCTTGTAGCTGCCTCCCCCTGACACAGCCTCCGTGGTCGCGTGGTGATCTCACTCTGTGTCTGTCTTCACACGACACTGTCCCATGCGTGTGTTTATATTTATGTCTCATCTCAGAAGGACACAAGCCATATTGGATTAAGGGTCTACCCTACCCCATATACTGTCGTCTTAACTTACATTTTAATTACATCTGGAAAGACTATTTCCGAATAAGATGACATTCACAGGGACTAGGGTGATACTTCAGCGTATCTTTTGAGGGACACAATTCAACCCACAACAGATGTAATTCTGCTTGGTGTCTGTACCCTGCAGTTAGGGGCTGTTGTTGGTGTGACTCAAAGTCCTTCTTAGTTTATTTCGAGTCATATGTGCCATTCCCTTTCACAATACACGGTAAGAGTTTCAAGTCTGAAGCAGTGTTTCTCAGTCATCCCTGTCGGGGAGGCAACAACTGGAGATGCCTCTTTCTATTTTGTCCATTTTCCTTCCAGTGGTGTTTCTCTTCTTTAATGTTTGCTAAAATTTTTCTTTTAAAGTTTTAGTAGCAGTATGATTGAAGCTTTATTTTATTTAAAGTCGGGTTATTTACTGATCAAATATCTAGATTTGGGAATCCATGGACACCATGAATAAAGAAGTATGTGGATTTTTCATTTTTTTGTCTTGGTTAAAACTATGAGCTTAGCCACTGGGCCGGGGGATTCTCAGTCCCAGATGCACACCAGAACCACGCAGGCAACTCTAGAAACTACTGATGACCAACACCACCCCAGGCAATTAAATTAGAATCTCTGGGCCTGTTGCACAGTGCATATGAATCAACCAAACCCTGCATCTCAAGGTAGCAGTTACTGGATTGGAACGGGCACCACCTTCCCCATCCATGTACTGAGAGAAGCAATATACCACTCTGGTAGGGCTGTTGCCAAGACTGAATAAGTTCGCTCATGTGCAATGCTCATTAGCGTGTGATGGCTCCTCATGAGACCATGTGGGTGGTGAGTGCTGACCCTGGACTGTGGGCTTGACATCGTTGTGTAGGTGGGACCCTCTCTCCAGCCGGGCAGGGTAAACCAGAAGCCCATGCCTGAGCCCCCGTCCTCATGGGCGCATCCAGGGAAGGCTGGAGCCATCCACGCATCTACAACAGTGCCGGCATGCCCATCGTGGGAGGACTGGAAGATTTCCTTGAGACTCAGCTAGACAGGAGGACACCAGTAAACGGTCTCAATTCCAAGGCCTTGAGCCTGCTCCCGTCCTGATTTTGTGGCTGCTGTCCTCAGCGATGCTGCTGGCCACCCCTCCCATGGAAACTCTCCTGACTTCACTCAGGACAATGACGTTTTTCTGATCTCAGTCTGGAGGCTAGAAATCCAAGATCAGGCGTCAGTGCGGTCGGGTTCTGGTGAGAACCCCTTGCTGGGCTGTAGGTGCCCTCGTCTCCTTATGTGCTCACCTGGCAGAGACTGAGTTGTAAGAGAGGCTGAGCGGAAGCACAGTGGGCACTGCGGTCGGCCCCGTGGCAGGCTGGTCTCCGTGGTTTCATCGCCTCCAGTCTTCAGATGCACTGTCTCCGCTTCTTGGAAAGAGATGTCCCTACTTACCTGCCTGTCAGATTTAGTCTTTCAAAATCCCCTCAGGACTCTTTTTAGACCAAGCAGGACCGACTGTCAGCTGGTGAGCACCAGTTCAGTTGTCCTGGTTAATTGTTTTAAGTTTATTTTTTAAATCCCCCTTTCCTGATGGCAGAATATTTTTTCCATGCTTTCCGTTGTTTCAACACATTATATCTTGTTAAATGAGGATAGTTTCACCAATTCCTTGAAATGATGGTCTACAGATGTTTCCTCCACCGAACTGTGTCTGGAGTCATTCTGTTTATTACGTTTTCTCTCAAGTCTGTTATCGACCCAAAATCAGGACTGGAGAGTGCAGTAGGGGGTCACTAGGTGTTTTTTTTGAACTGGATTGAGTGTTCGCAAGAGTAGAAAAAGGTCCGTTGCTTTAAGTGAATCTTGAATGATATCCCAGTTTCTTAGAGGGCTTCTTTGAGCTGAAATCCTCAGCAAAGTGAAGGGAAGCCACTGCAGTGGGGGGCTTGGCTGCTTTCTCGTCTTCCCGAAATGCTGCTCAGTCTCTTCCCCTCACCTGCCCAGAGACTGTGTTTCCTTAGCTGTTGGAGTCAGTTGATGCAACAGGCAAATTCAGTAATGTCCGGTATGAAACGTAGTGAGATGACATCGGTTAATAAAGTCATATAGGTTTCAAGTTGAGGGGAGCTAGTGAAGGGAAAAGGAGTCAAATTTATGGTGATGGAAGGAGATTTGACTCTGGGTGGTAAACACACAGAGCAATACACAGGCGCTGCATTTTTTGAAAGGAGAGTGATGATAAAAAGGAGTAAAAATGATGTGGATAATTATATTAGCTAACATTCATTAGTTCTATGCCCTGTATATGTATTTATCTCATTTCTTTAGCCTATCAGCTCTTGGAGTAGAAATGATTATCATTGCAATATTGCAGATGAAAAATGAAGGCTCACAGAGTTTAATTCACCTGCCCAAGTTCACACAGCTAGTGAGATGCGGTGATTGCATTTATACGGCTATTTCTATAATGACTGCTATAGCCAATTAATCAGTGTTGCTTTTGACCATTAACATTTTCTCAAATAACTTTCTTAAGGGGTGAATTTGAATTTCTCACCTACCTACATGACAGTCTGTTCTGCAGAGCTACTGCTCAGTCTTGAATTTCTCATCCTCCAATCTGCACATTCAGATAATGATGCAATAAAAGCTTTTATGGGATACTCCTCAAGATTGCTATATGCTAAGGGAGGGAATAAGATATATTTTCATAACTTTTGACTTCTATAAAGTTCTTTCCTCCTCGTTGCAGCATGTAAAAGCTCTGAAATTGTATCTCATGAGGAGGGTAATCTGCAATTATTTACAGAGTCATCTCGCAGTATCTCATTCGATCACTTTTGTGGAAAAACAGAATAGAAAAACAAACAAACTTTCATGAATATTTTAAAACCCATACCGACTGGGGGAGGGAGGAAAGTAAGTTCAGATAATTGCAAATTCCATTTCAGTCCGTCGTATTCCAAGTAAGCATTCTGTCTCAACATGGCTTACGTCTGATCTTTTCAAATGATGGATGCTGATGCTTTTCCTTGCTCAAGTGTGAGTTGTTCTCATGTGAGAGAGGGTGCTGAGCACAGGAAACTGGGCCGAGTGTCTGCCGGCCACCCATGTTCCTGGCTGCAAGGTTGAGGGGACCTTTGGGGAAGTTATTCTGCATTTTAAGCAAGTGGTTCCCAAGGCAGCTGCTGAATATTTTGTTAAATGATTTCCTTCTCTGACCTTTATTACTAGTGAATCTTCCTTAAGAAGCACTTAAAGAGTAAAAAGAAAGGTTGTTTTATTAATCTCTTTTTTCTTTGCCCACAGAACCCACAGAAATGGTGTTACCTGGCAGGAGAGCTGGACTCTTATGAAAAATCTGACCAAGGTAATACTTACTATGACTTGATATATATATTTTTTAGTCTGCTTAATTCTAATACATTAAACTCATTGGCTTGCCTTGATTCCTAGTTTTAGCTATTGAATAATAGTAAGTCATTATCTGAAAAATAAAGGGAATGGATTATAATGATTACCATATTTAGCAAGTAACAGTAAACTTTAAGGCATTTAAGCTTATCAAAACATTGTGGATAATGGTCAGTTTTCTGCACTACATTTATGTTAATATATGAATAGGGTCTTGACTAGAAGTTTGCATTCTCCTTGGAAATAACTCCAATTAGTTTGTCATATTTATAATGACAGACAAGAAGAGAATTTGATTCTTGTCAGAGAACAGTGATAAGAATTTCCTTCTATTTAAACATTAGCAGATGGTTTTACATATTAGTTTTTGAGTATGCAAAAGATTTCAGTAGAAATTCCTCTAAAGCTTGGTTGAGTTTTGTAAAGACACCATCATACAAAATATATTCTCTTTGGAAAGACTGAGTTCTATCAGACACTTGTTGAATAGCATACCTGATTATGCTGGACAGTTGCATATGTAGTTGCTAAAGTTTGAGATTGCTATGTGATTTATTTACATATGTTGGCTTAAAAATATGAACACTCAGGCAAATATCCTAATGATATATGTGTATAAACAAAGTGTAAGATACAGATATATAATGTGTGCATATTTTATGAATAATGATACTGTCTAAAAGAGTTTTTTCAGGAAAGTTTCTACAAGGTTAGAACTGTCATGGGAATTGGACCCATCTGTTCAATGCTATCTGTTTATAGAACTATGAAGATAGGATGTTACTGTATGTATATGCAAAATACATTTATTGAAATGTATATTAGATTGCATACTAAATGAAACTGATTGGGTTTTGCTTTTGAAAAATTGTTGAATTCCTAAAAACAAATGAGTATGAAACAAAGGTAGCATTTAAATTTCGTGGACATCAGCGGAAAACCTGTTTTTGACCTTGAATTTGCAGTTGAGCTAAAATAAATTGTTAGGTTGAATTTCAAATTGGGGTGTTTTTATTTATTTCTGATTTCAGTTGATTCTTCAAAGCAGGTGCAAATCCGCTAAAGAATCAGCTTCTCTCCCCTGAAGGCAATTTGGAATTGTAGTCTCTCTTTTCAAGTTTTAGCTATACTAAAATATTGATTGAATCTATAAACTATTTTTAAATGGTTAATGACATCAGTGGAGGGCTTCCTTTTGCGTAGAACGATTAGCCATGTCTCCCCACGGAGAGACATCGCAATGAGCACTGATTCCTAGACTGTCTGTGGAAGATGTTGACCCTGAGCATGTGATATAGACTTAGGGAGCTAAGTAGCAGAAAAGTACTTGTTGAGGAGGGTTGATGGTGATGACACAGTAAGACAGAGAAAGAAATACATGGAATGAGATGAGGAGGGTCAAGGATCCAAGGATAAAGGATACATGGAGCACAGACTATCCAGGATTTATTCATATGAAATTGTCTTTTTCAGAGGTATGTGCATGCTTGTGTCCATACAGATGTACCTACGAAGATGTTGTTTTATTAGGATTTTTGTATGTTTAAGACATGGAAACAATTACTTTGAATTGAATGTTGGACAAGGAGAGTTGGGTGGAAAGAGGAAATTTCCATTAACATAGTGGGATTTCCAGCATTGTGTACCAGAGTACAAAATGCGTTTCTTCTGAAAATGAGAATAAAGGGACAGTCTGTATCTTGCCAGAATCCAAGTGCCTTGGTCTGATAACACTCCCAGAGAAGTCGTGCTGTAGGAGGTGTGTGTGTGCGCACATTGGGAGTGGGTGTGAGGAGTGACTTGGGATGGAGAAATGGTGTTTATGTCGTCATCTCTCCAGACTGGTCCTTTGGATTCCGTGAAACGGGGGTGTGTGCAATCTTGTAAACAGTTTCTGTTAACAAGACAGTGAGTGCTGATGTACTGATGCTCTGTCTCTATTATTTCAGATGGAATATAGACATTTAAACTTCAAGATTTAAATAGTTGACTGTTAGACATATTAGTGAAGGTACTATTTTTAGATGAATGGGACTGGTCAGTCTTCTCAGTTGCATATGATGACTAACCCACTCACTTTGTGTAGGATTAACTGGCAGAGGAGCTCAGAGATCATTTTATTGGCTTAGCAGGTGCTGTTGTGTGTAGATACCTGAAAGTTCTGTTTGACCCTTTTCAAATACACTTAAATACCTGTTCAGATAGTCTTCTATTATGTTAAGTTATTTGTGTTAATTAGTCACAATATTCTTAATTCAGTCATCCAGAGAGAGGCATCTTTAACCAGTCAGGTATAAATAGCCGTTTATATATCCAGTATGATTATGTAAAAAAAAAAAAAAAAAAAATAGAGGCAGTTATTCTGTGCCATTTTTATATAGGTTTATATGTCCTGGAAATAGATTGAATTTCAATTAAGAAAATGCCATGTCTGTAATTTATTTTTATTATGTAGGAATATTCAGTTTTATTCTCACATATATCTGACTTTTTCTGTAGGAACTTGTAATTGTAATATCAATCCTTAATTGATGTTAAGGATTCAGCAGACTTTTTGATGTGCTCTAGGTTGAAATCTAGGCTTAGTATAAACACAATTTTGAGAGTTGGAAATAAAGTGTCATCAGGCTAGTGTGTAGTTACTTATGTTCAAGAGCACTAAAAATAAGTTATAAAGATAGTTTTTTAGAGATTTGTTTCATTGTGGTGTATTCTCATTGGCTGTAGAAAATATTAAAGAGGCAATAATCCTTCTTGAGATTTAAAAGGATAAAAATCTTCTGATATTTTAAGAGTTTACCACAAATTATATTTTACATTATTTATTGCATACCTACTAGAACATAATGGAAAGTAAAGCATCGAAACTTACAGCTTGGTTAATAAGTTAATGGCCATGAACTCTTTTTTTTTTTTCTTTCTGGTGGTACGTGCCCCCTGCGGGAATTGAACCCGGAACTCTCTGGTCCGCAGGCTGATGCTCAACCGCTGAGCCAAACTGGCCAGGGCAATGGCCATAAACTTAAATGAGAATTAGGAATGTGTCTGTGGCATATGATAGTAGGAGTGATGTCATGGCCACATGGCCTGGATTAGAAACCTCATGTGACATAGCAGTGCTTTGCAGAAATATGGTTACAATATCAGGCAAAACATTCTCCCGAAAAGAATTTAAACTGAAAGTTGGAGAATAAATCATTGGACATTTTCATGGAGATATGACTAAAAAGTAATTTTTTTTTTTATCCTCACCCGAGGACATTTTTCCATTTTTTGTTCAGGTAGAGTGGGAGGGTGAGAGAGGAACAGAGAGAGAGAGAGAAACATCGATGTGAAAGGAACACATCGAGTGGCTGCCACCCGCACAACCGACCAGGGCTGGGGACAAACTGCAACCGAGGTACGCGCCCTTAGCGGGAACCGAACCCGGGTCTCTCAGGACCACAGGCCGACGCTCTAACCGCTGAACCAAACCGGCCAGGGCTAAAAAGTAATTTTTAAAGAGGAACTTGCATGAGAGTTATTATGATAATTTTTATGAGTTTGCCTTTTTGGTTTTTATGATTTTTGTTATTTGCAAAAGTGCTTGTCAGTCTTTACTCTTCTGAGTATTAGATTCTGTGGGATACTTCACTTTCTTAAAACTTAAAAACAACAACTCCCAAGACTATAAGCCATAGCATTGTCTACGATCAGCTCCTGCTAATATTCAAGTTTCTCCACCGATTCCCCACCTGTGTTTCTTAGCTTAATGTTTCTCTTCTACTCCATTACAGACCCTAAACATTCTTGTCTTTTTCTTATGCTGAAAACTCTACTCTGAATGCCCATTCTTCTTTTCCCCTTATGCCAAAGTCTACATATCCTGAAAACTTCTCTTTAATTCTTCATTATACTACATCAATTTCTCCCCCTTAACCCATATTCACTTGGTATCTGCCACACTGATTTGCATAGGTTGCCATGTAATAGTTCTCATGTGCACATGTATATATATTTCATTTTATTATATATAAAGGTGCACATACAGATATGAGGTTTTTTCCCTTCAACATGATTAAAGAAGATCCTTCTGTCATCTTTTACTGCCATTTGTGAATGAAGAAGACAAATTGAAATGAGTGAGCTCCTTCCATCTCTAGGATTTCCATTGAAGGAATGCTTAAAAGGCTGGAAGATTCCTTGGTACTACGAGAGTTATAATTTAGCAATGCTTTGTACTGATTAGGGCTACCTTGATAACCTTCTTTCTCTTTCTCCTCTTTCAATGAGAATAAAACCAAAGTTCAAATATACTAATTTATGAAGCAAATAATTTTCTTCTCATCCAAGAAGAGATTGCCTAATTGTATCACCCACTGGCTTTGTACCACTTTGCACAAGTCATTGGACTTTTGCAAGCCAAGAGCAGACAACGCCTTATGAGGATATTGCTTATCTAACTTCAGAATCAACAGGAAAAAATACACTGCGATTTGCTACCTCATCCATTTACTCATTTATTCTTCAATCCATTGTTTATCTGCTACATTCACAGGTGCTCTAGCTGGAGGGGAGTACATGCAGAATTCGAAAGTCTGTCTCTTATTACACACACGCACACACACACGCACACACACACGCACACACACACGCACACTGTACATAAATACATATAGAGGCTCCAAAATACAATTTTTACATGCTCATAGAGTTATCTCCAAGTTCCTTATCATTTTTCACATCCAAGAAACACAATTTCTCATGTGTTCTTCTGTACATCATCATTCATGTGGATGGTTGGAAATCATTAAAGCAGTCCCTGATAGCTATTTTTAAGTTTTCAATAATTGTCGAATTTCATGCCTAGGAATTTTGTGGCCATTTTGAATGTGTGTATGTTTGTAGATAGCAAGTCTGACATAGCATGTTCCCAGCTCTACAGTAGGGTCTCTAGACAGGGCCCGGGAAGCACCT